AAATTTTTTTCTAATCTGAATTGTGGTTTTGTAGATATAGAGATAGTTCGCGAACTTTTTGATCACCCCTTGTACAATATTAACTGTATGTATAATTCCAATAGATTTCATTTGTTTAGAATATGACACAATTTTCTTTACGTTCTCTCTAGTCTTTATCTCTGTCTATAACACTTACAAATTCTGGGGGTGGTTTAATTCTTGGGATGAAGGATCCTTGTAAACGTGCTTTTATCTGACTTTTGGAGATGTAAAAACTGAAATTATCACAAACAAAATATACAAGAGCTATGGGAAAACCTTTTTCAGATGTAAACATAAATACAATCAGATTTAAACAACACTAAGTGTTGTTACCTGTGATTCATCCAGTGTGGTATGTTGTAATCGTCTCCCACCTCTAACGATGTCTTGGCATGCTTGTTATGAAACTGTACAGAGAAGAAAGATTCAGATACATAGATCTTTTAAATATCTTATGAAAATTACATGTAGATTATCTATACTAGTAACAACTTACCTTAAATAGTGGAGCAGCATGAAGGGGTTGTTCGCCCATACACACCAGGTCACTCCCCACCCCTGTATATAACAATATAAAGTCAAATCCAGATATGACTTCTCTTTTGCATGCACATGTATATGCAACTCCCTTGGAATAAATATAAATTGGTTTTCTTTGAAGAGTATAGAGAATATAAGCTTTTGAATTTGGCAAAAACTGGGAGTTCAAACTTTGCTGTTGAATATGTGGGAATAATACCAGATGAGTGTGTACATGTATGATTGCACCATATTTCAGACAGGACACAAATCATTTATACAAATCACAAGGACCTCTTTTTAAACTGGTTAACTGACTTTTAACAAAAACCTTACCACAGTCGATGGTTCTTTGCTTGGTGATGTTGGCTAGTTCCCTGTCCACCTCAAACACCCCAGCTCCAGGGGTGATCACCACGGCAACCTTACCTGTCCTATCAAAGTTTCTGTCAATGTAGTAGCCCTCAAACACTGCAAAGTTACAAAGGTGCAGGTATTAGAATTAAAATTAAAAATTCATTTATGCAGAGACCATATCAATGCAAGAAAAAGTTTTGCTATAAGCAATGAACCATAATCTAATAATCATCAATTACATGTATTTTAAATTCATAATTTCAGGATCCAGTTGTATCAATATCAACGACTGCAATAACATTTATTCAAAGATAAACCTACAGTTAAGAGACATGTTGAGTGTCTCCAGGAAGTTGCCCTGAGCTGCTGTGGAGTTGTAGGCTGTCGGTACTTTTTGTCCTCTCTGTTTATGGTAGTTCAGAATCTTCTCCTTATAGGAGTTACACAGTTTACGTAGCAGCATCATAGTGGATGTCCAGTCGTCATATCTCTCATTCTGTACTACAATCCTTTACACAGAAAAATATTCTCAATATTCAAAATTCATTACCAGATTAGATTGAAAATGAAATTGTGATACATTGTACATGTACAACATATTTTCAAATCATACTACATGTACTTGATATGAATGACTGTTAGTGTGGGACAACTTTTATTCTGAACTTACCTGTAAAAGTCCTGGTAATATCTCCCCTTGTAATCACACACAATACAGTCTCTCATATATTCTGGGAAGTCGTCTATATTCAGAAAGAAATTTAGTTAACAAATAATTTGTTCCTCATGCCATAATATATATAACAAAGTATTACATCAAAATATAATAATTTTACCATACTACACAATGTTATGTTGTCATACTGTAACATGAAGCAAATTAATAGAAATATCTTCAGATGCCTAGGAAATTATTTACATGAACATGCACAGCAATATTCATTCTTGTCATTTGTTGATAAAAAATCAAATATTTTACCTAAAGACTGAGCTTTATAAAATGTTCTTGAAAACAAAACAATTGTCACATCATGAAGACAGTTCTGCTCCTGTTGAGGGGTAAAACAAAATATTTCAAAGTCCTGTACACATCAAGGTTTGATTAACATCTATAACACATAGTAGTATACTTTTTTATAATTAATATTTATACAAAATTTTATTCATCAAACAAGAGGCCCATGGGCCACTTCGCTCACCTGAGCATAGTGGCTGGGAAAGGAATAAATGGGTTCATTATTGAAAAGTTTAAATCCAAAAGCAGTCCCATGACCAACCATGGCTTTGCTATTCTTGAGAAGATGATTTTGTAAAGAATTTTCCTATATACTTGGATTGGCCATTTTGGCCCCGCCCTACCCCGGGGGGTCATGATTTGAACAAACTTGAATCTACACTACCTGAGGATGCTTCCATATAAATATAAGCAATTATGGCTTTGTGATTCTCGAGAGGAAGATTTTTAAAGAATTTTCCTATATATTTCAATGTAAATTGTTGGTCGGCCATTGTGGCCCCGCCCTACCCCCGGGGGTCATGATTTGAACAAACTTGAATCTATACTACCTGAGGATGCTCTCATATAAATATGAGCAATTGTGGCTTTGCTATTCCTGAGAAGAAGATTATTAAAGAATTTTCCTATATATTTCTATGTAAAACTTTGATCGGCCATTTTGGCCCCGCCCTGATTTGAACAAATTTGAATCTACACTACCTGAGGATGTTTCCCCATAAGTTTCATCTTTCCTGGCACAGCGGTTCTTGAGAAGAAGATTTTTAAACCATGCCACCAAATTTTCACTAATTCCCAATTATCTCCCCTTGAATGAGGGCGTGGCCCTTCATTTGAACAAACTTGAATCCCCTTTACCCAAGGATGCTTTGTGGCAAGTTTGGTTGAAATTGGCCCAATGGTTCTTGAGCAGAAGTCGAAAATGTGAAAAGTTTACAGACAGACAGACGGACAGATGGACGCCGGACAAAATGTGATCAGAAAAGCTCACTTGAGCCTTCGGCTCAGGTGAGCTAAAAATTGAATGGGATTGAGCATCAGGCAAAGCCTATTTTAGCCCTCTCCCTAGTAGTATACTTTACCTTCCATTTGGCAAACAAGTCAGTAAGGAAGCCATTGAGAGCTTTCTCAAAGTAAAGATCTTCTCCGAGTATGTCAAAGTCCCACATCTCACTGCTCATCTGGATAAAGATCTGTACTACAGCTGTCGAGGATCGGTACACAATCTGAAGAACCAATGAAAGAAACAGTGAAACAGTGTACAGTACAAACATAGATCTTCAAAGTATGGCAACATGGTCTCTCCCATGATCTTATAATCTAGCTTTTAAATCTAATACATTTGTAGTAAGTACCGTACCCTAGTGTCCTCTGTGATTGTTCCACACATGACCCTCTCTCCTTTAGACCACATCTCCATGACCTGAGGTCTTAAAAGAAAGAACCAAAGCTTTAGTACACCGCTTCTCTATTTACATTTCTTATTATTTTCAGATATCTTCTAAAGTACAATATTTTTATGATAAGCAGTTCTTATCATTTTCGTGTATTGAAATTTTAACTCTTAAATACAAGTTTTTATGATAAAAAGCTTCAGTCACTTGATTTAAATACAAACCTTAAACATACCCTCATCTTATTTTTTTTCAAAGACAGTGTGAAAAAGCTAGCTCTGTTGAAAACAAGTCTGGGTACATTTTACCTCATTTCAGCATGCTCTATCTTTTTGTTGAGATAGACACAGCTGTTGATGATTCCATTCCTCAGCCTCCAGAAATCACTGCGACTAAAGTACTGATCCTTAAACAGCATCTCAACCAGGTCCAGAGCCACACTCTAAAAAGATGCATTACACATTCAGCTTAAATTAAATAAGTAGCACAGTGTATGTACCAAGTTTCACTAACAAATATCATGAAGTAGTATTTTGGGTTAATTTTTTTCAACAACTTTTATGATTTAAATAATATTTTGCAGTACCTTTGGGTCAACTTTGTTAACAATGACATCTTTGTATGCTCTAAGCTGGAATGTTGAAGCAATGTTTTGTGCAATGCTTACAGTTCCTATAAGGAAATATAAATTCTGTTGTAGTACATTTACATTTTGAAAGTTTATTGTTAACCAAAAAATATAAGTGTTTATCCTTTTGGAGTTATTAATTTGGCCAATTCTTGTATCTTATTTAGGAATGTGTAGCTTTGATTATTTTGTCACTATATAAATCATTCTATAATAATTACCTTTGGGTTGAAATTCATCCGATAGAGATGCAACTTGCAAAAGGAGGCGACTTAAAAAAAAAAACAAATTTAATAAATATAGGCAGGTTTATGGCATTTAATCTCTACTAGATTTTATCAAGCAAAATGTTAGCCTGGAGGGTGTTTATGAACTGCTTAGAAAGTTTTTATTAAAAAAAAAATCTGATGCAGTTTTGCTTGTCATTATTTCAGTGCATATTGACAAATGACCCTTGGCCATTGAATCACAGTCTGACACAATCTTCTGTCTTGACTAAATGACTCCAATTTCAATGTTGGTGCTCATCAAAATCCACTGCAAACATTTACTGATAAGGAAACTTTTACATGCATGCAGTGGAATGGCAATGTCCAGATGTAAAAATCTGTGAACTTATCACCATACCTCTACAATGATTTTAATTTTCAAAACAATATTAAAATGAAAAAAAAGGCAAACCTTTCCTCATCCTCAGGATGATAGATTTCAACTACATCACCAATTGCTACATCTGGCACATCTTTCTGATTGATCAAGATTTCTTCATCTAAAATATGCAGACTTTTATTTACACATATAAAATTCATCCAATGTTTTCTTTATCGAATACATTTTGATTACGTGTTCGCTTCTGTCATGGTGCATCATTTTTATAGTCAAATTTTGAGATATAAATAAAAATTATTTATGTATAAGTTAAAATCAATCCTACTGATATTGCTATTTTCGCTGTAATTTCTCTTATGAACTCTCAAATTCAACGTTTTGGCCATTGCTTCTCCATTGCAAGTTTCATATTCAACGTTGTACAGACGCTTTCGTTTCATAGCCAATAAACCTCATTCATATAAAGCGCTAACAAGATTCAGACTCTTGTGAAAACTCGAAAGTCATGCGGAAAGCATCATTTATTTCAAATACTTCTTGGATGATCAAATCCTTATCACGACGTAAGTATAGTTATCCAGAATACAAACATTAATATATAGATTAAGTTTTCTTGACTTATAAAGGAACACAGATGTGATAATATTCACAAGACAATTTAGTGAATTTTTAACTCGAGGAAATTCGGGTTTTCATAGGATATATAGGAAAAATTAATAAAAAAAATCTTCTCAATAAAAAGAAAACCATGAAACCTCATATTGATAAGGATGTGTCCCCAGGTAGTATGAAATCCAATTTGTTCAAATCATGACTCAGAGGTAAGATTAATCTTTAAAAATCTTCTCAAGTTGAGCAAAGCCTTCAGCCCCGAGACATCAGAGGGCTAAAATAGGTAGTTGTAGAACTGTAGCATTATAGTTTTATATATTAGTCTTTGACCATAATGCTACCGATCCCGTAATGCAAAAAAGGTGCAATTTATGCCGCAAGATTATCTGCGCATTGTTGAGGAGAATTTCTCCACTTTCCAGCATTGGTCAATCTAGCTGCAGAACTGTAGCATTATGGTTTTATATATTAGTCTTTGACCATAACGCTACAGATTCCGTAATGCAAAAAATGTGCAATTTATGTGCAAGATTTTTTGTGCACTGTTTGGGAGAATTTCTGCAATTTCCAACATTGGTAAATCTTTTACCTTTCCCTCCATAATTCTAGACACATTGTAAAATAAATCTGTATATTTTGTACACCTCCCAACCCTTCATCTCTACAAGCGATAAACTCGCTTATATTAGAATTTTCTGCAATTCCTTAGAGAATTCAAATCAAGCTATTTTATCACCTGTACGAGGCAACATATTTATAAAGGTTGAGAGGAGGATAAAATATACAAATTAGTTTAAGAATAAGTCTGGAATTAGGGGGTGAAAGGTAGATAATTTACCAAAAGTGGAGAAATTCTTCCAAACAGTGCGCAAAAATCTTGCACAGTAAATTGCACATTTTTTGCATTATGGGATCTATAGCGTTATGGTGAAAGACAAATATATAAAACCATAACGCTACAGTTCTGCAGCTATGGTCAATCAACTACGTTTTACTCCCTAATTCTAAATGCATACTTTTATCAACCTGTATAATAAAGTTACCAACTTGCATAATAAATCATATAATAAATTATAAAGTTTTATATATAAAAAAAATGTTGTAGATGCACTCAGTAGCTATGTATTATTGGATTATCTCTCACATTTGTCTTAATTTCTGAAGTTAAAATATGCTTTTTCATATTAAAGAATATTATTGTCTTTAAAACCTTCCTTGAATTATAAATATAAATTGTAATATATTTTTTATTTTCAGCACAAAATTATGTTCAAAGTGCAAGCTATATGAAGATAAAAACACTTCCAAATTATGATGGTGAGTAGTTTTTCATCTTTGTCATGTTTAAGGAAAAATCTGGATCAATTTACTACTTTATTGTAATTATTTATTGTTAAGGAATCTGGATCTATCACTTTTGCATCTAGATTTGTCAGATGGATTTGGAAAACCCTGCAAATATGAACAGGGATTTTCCATCCATTTTGGAAATGGTACCCAGGCCCTTACCATTGGGAATTAAATGGCATTTTATAACTTTTTGGGAAATTTTATAGCAAGATATCTTTCAAGAAATAAACACTTATGATGCATAAAATTGATATTTACTTCATTATTCAGAACTATAATTCAGAGAAAAGATCCATTATTATACAGTTTTAGCCAAATTTCTAAACATTTTGTTCATTTAGAGTTTAAACCTAACCATGTTTGTTTGACAAGAATTTTTCAAAAATTGAACACATGCTGTTCATTTTTTGGGAAAAATGGAGTGATTTTGCAATTGGGAATGGGGCCCATATTCAGCCCTTCACGGGGCAGTGGAAAATCCCTGATGAAACATTAATTTAATTAATAAAGAGAAGCAATTATACTCACAGACAATCAGAAAATAAAGTATGATTAGGGTAATAAGTTAATCATAACCATAACCCTATAAGGAGCTTTCATAAGGGTTAGGGGCACTTGAAAGAGAGAATATGGTAATTATATTTAATAAATTAATTTCCATCAAATATTGTACATTCCAAATAAGATACATTTACTGTATTACTGTTTTTTTTTGTTGCTCAGATATTGAATTTCCTGAGAGAAAGAAATTGCGATTAATTGATAAGACCCCTCAACCTGTTAAGAATACTAACAGTCACGTAGCAGTACAGCAGAGAAGCGAGGCCAAATACAGCAGAGGACCAGATGTGATCAACAATAGGCTGATATATGGGCAGTATGGAGTACAGGTAACTGATATATGGGCAATATGAAGTACAGCTATAAGTATCTGATATATGGGCAAATGGAGTACAGGTAACAGATATAAGAGCAACATGGAATTAACAGGTAACTGATATAATGGACAATAAGGAGTACAGGTAACTGATATAATGGACAATAAGGAGTACAGGTAACTGATATAATGGACAATAAGGAGTACAGGTAACTGATTCATGGGCAATAAGGAATACAGGTAACTGATATATTGACAGTATGATATAGTGGTAACTGAAATAGTACAGGTAATTGATAATTTGGAAATACGGAGTACAGGTAACAGATATGTGGGCAATATGGAGTACAGGTAACAGATATGTGGGCAATATGGAGTACTGGTAACTGTTTTGTTAAGAATACAGAATACAGATTACTGATATATGGGCAATACGGAGTAGGGGTAACTGATATATGGATAATATTGAACAAAGATATGTGTAACAAAAAAGTGGACAAAATGAAGGATAGGTAGCTAATGCATTTAAGAGGCTCTTTCAGAATACAAGTTACAGTTTTTGAGGCAGTTTAGAAAAGAAATTACTGACCGACATTTTGATGTCTATACATTTTTTTAAATTGACAAATGCTATAAATCTTGCCTATCCATTAACGATATCAAATAGCATTGTTGTTGGTATTATCCTGCACTTATTTTTTAAAGGCTCTGGATGGGGGACATGGATTAACAGCCAAGCATTTTGATATGTGGGCAACATCAATGCTAAACTTACAAATGACATGTTTGCCGAATGGCGTGTGGAACCGCCATGGAAACCAGTGTCGAAAAAAGGACAAGGAAAGCGTATGGGGAAGGGGAAAAGCCCCATTACACATTACGTAACCCCTGTCAAGGCAGACTGTATTATCATGGAAATTGGTAAAAATGTGTTAAGACACAGTATATAAAATGATTACTGATATATGCAAATCAGTGTCCATTTGTAAGCAAGATATATGTGAGTGAAGAAATTGTGTAACAAAAAAGTGGACAAGAGAACTGGATAAAGATAGGTAATGCATTTAAAGGCTCTTTGCTAGACAAGTTAATTTTTGAGGCAGTTTAGAAAAGAAATTACTGACCGACATTTTAATATTTTTTGGTAAATACAGGTAGAATCATTTAATCCTCCAAAGGATCTATACTTTTGTTTCCTCTGTTAAACTTTACAGATATGTGAAAGCTGTTTTTTCTGAATTATTTAAACAAATAAAATAACATTAAAAAAAGTTGTTTTTTTTTGCAATGAAAAATTCAGGATACCATAATAAAAATTAATACATGTAAAACGTGTTTGGTTGATTTGTTTAATGAGGTCCACTGTATACATTTTTTAAAATTGACAAATGCTATAAATCTTGCCTATCCATTAACGATATCAAATAGCATTGTTGTTGATATTATCCTGCACTTATTTTTTAAAGGCTCTGGATGGGGGACTATTAACAGCCAAGCATTTTGATTCCTGGCGACTCTACATCAATGCTAAACTTACAAATGACATGTTTGCCGAATGGCGTGTGGAACCGCCATGGAAACCAGTGTCGAAAAAAGGACAAGGAAAGCGTATGGGGAAAGGGAAAAGCCCCATTACACATTATGTAACCCCTGTCAAGGCAGACTGTATTATCATGGAAATCGGAGGAAAAATTGAATTAAGACAAGTATATAAAATGCTTCGCCATATTGCAAATCAGTGTCCATTTGAAGCAAGAATTGTGAGTGAAGGAATTCTTAAGAAAGAAGAAGAGCAAGAGAACTGGATCAAAGATAATAATCTAAACCCATTTTCCTATGAGTACTGTGCTAGAAACAATTTCCTGGGAATCAGGAAGGACCTCAGTCCATATGATTTAATATTTTTTGGTAAATACAGGTAGAATCATTTAATCCTCCAAAGGATCTATACAGTTTTGTTTCCCCTCTGTTGAAACTTTACAGAGGAAAGCTCTTTTTTTTACTCTTGTATGTAAATAAATATGTAACATGCTTGGTGGAAAAGTTGTTTTGTTTTTTTTGCTGTTCAGGTACCATAATAAAAATTAATACATGTAAAACTTCATGCAGGTGTTTGTTTGATTTGTTTAATGAGGAATATGTTACAAAGAAAGATGTAAACACTATATTTATAATTACCATACTAAATACTTCTAAAGTAAAATATTTAATCTGAATATCATTATTGTTATATTTATTGAAAAAAGAAACCACTCCCTTAGGCCAAAATAAAAAATAGCTTTGTTTCCCCTAATGCGACCAACCCAATTAAATAGCACCGATTGAAAAGATTTTTTAAATAAGATGATTCAAATATTTTTTTATATTTTTAACCAAGTTTTATAAAATACAATTTCATCGAAATCAGTTTTTATAAGAACGGCCGACATTGTTCTACTGAGATTTTCAAGCATTTGTTGGAAACAAAATGGCGCCTAGATGTGATTACAGAGAATGTACTCTTGAAACAATTGGATAATAAAATTCATCATGACTAATTAAGAGTGTTTCGGACGTGTCTTGGCGTCTCCATGTGAGTGAATAAATTTTCGAAAAGGACGTTAAACAACAAACAAACGAAACAATTTAGGGTACGTAATACATGGTAAGGCCCACCTCATGAGCAGGTGAGGGGCCTAGGCTACCTAGTAAACACATCATTCAATTTCACTGCATTTTATTTAATTTGAGATTTAATCTAATAACCGCCATTATGGAACCATAGAAGTTGTTGTAAATATGTCTGCATATTCATCCTGATAAATCTATATATATTGTCAGTATGTGCTTTCTTATTTTTCTGTAATTATGGGTTAAACTTCGTGACTATGACACTGTATATAGCATTTTTATCATTTGTAGATTTGTAGATTCGGTTTATTTTCAAGTAAATATTGTTTACATGCTCTTTCCAAATAGTTTTGAAATCATGATTCAGCTTCCTGAGGCGTCCAGTGGTATTTTTCTTTAATTAGGCCCTTGAAGATTGGTTGGGTTTTTTTTGCTTTAAATCCCTTCGAGATTTTGAACGACATTTGAACATTTCCCCATTGCTCCAAATTTAGACGTACATAGCACTTTTTTGCCATTAAGCAGTGGGGGATCTTTTATGAGCCAGCATCTTTTGCGACAATGGACATAAGTTTTTATGGTCCCTTTTGAAGGACCGTTTTCAACGTTCCTCACTGGGATTTGAACCTGCGACTTAAAATTAGCCACTTACTGTGAGTACTTATGAACTCCAAAGCAAAATGCTCTAGAACCATTGCAAATCTCATGGCCCGCAAAAAAGGACATTGATTGTGTGTAAGCACTGGAGGCTGATGGAAGGTTTGGAAAAATATACTCGGATGTCCGGTCTTTGCGTATTTGGGAATCTTGTCTTTTTTTATTCGATTTATATCAATGTACTCAGCTGGCGTAAGATATTTCAAAAGTTCAACTGAATAACAGTTGTGAATTAATAAATCATGAATTTGGGTTTAATAAGGCATATGTATAATACTTAGTATTTTGTTCACAAATCGCTTTCTTTTGTACTTTTCTTTTTTATAAAGGTAATTTCCCATTAAATTTTAAAATGTAAAGCTGCTGTCAGAAAAAATTGTTTACCTACCTACCGACCCAACTTGAGAATTTAGGGTCGGTTTAGGGGAAACAAAGATATTTTTAATTCCGGCCTTACAAAAAATTCATTCTTAAAATTATAAGAATGTGTGCTCCTTCCAAATGAAATATTTTTTCCACATGTAGTCTCCACTTTTGGGCCAAACCCTGTAGCTTCATAGCTGTAGTGTTATGACTTTATATTTTAGTCAAAAACTGAAAACTAAAACCATAATGCTTCAGTTCTGCAGATAGTTCAAACCCTCGAGACAGGGGTAACAATTATGGCTAAATGCAGTCTACCAAGCAAAATTTCCACTAGATGTTCAGAAGCAAAGAAAATTTTCAATAGACACTATTCTGTGTTCACGTGATCATGTATTTACGTTTTATGTTTTTGAAGCTCCTTTTTTGGTTCAATATTTTGAGAATGGCTTTGCAGTTCTTCAGATTTTTTTTTTAATTCTTCGTATGTATTGTTATGTAAAAAGTAGTCCCACCCTACCCAGAGGTTATGTTTTGAACAAACTACGTGTAGAATCTACACTAGTACCTAAGGAAGCTCCATGATGGTACATGTATTGCTCTTTGTAAGGATACTATTTATGTTTTTCCTTTTTTTATTCCAATGTAAAACTTAGGATGTCCATGGTGGCCCCATCCTACCCCCAGGGGTCATGACTTGAACAAATTTTAATCTATAATATATCAGAAAGCTTCCACATTCGTTTAATCTTTTCAATTACGGACCACTTTCTCGTTCTTGAGAAAAAGATTTTTAATTTACCCCAACCGATGTTCTGAATTATCTTAATTATCTCCCCTTAGAAGAAATTTGGCCCTTCACTTGAACAAATCCAATCTTCCACCCAAGTATACTTGTATTATGCCTGGTTGAATTTGGTTCTGGAGAAGAAGTTGGCTGAAAGTTGTCGACAACAAATACGACAGACAATGTACAAAAGCTCATTTAAATCTTCAGCTCAGGCAAGCTAAAACGTTTTTTCGAATCCCATTTTTTTGTTTGAAATCTGAATTTAAATACCAAATATTTTAAGTTTTGAGTGAATTCAAATAGTTGTTGACATCTCTAGTGAAATATGATATCATGCAAGTTGCTTTGTGAGACATGATGATTGAGTTAATTGTTCAATATACCGGTAGATGTAATATCAGTGAAATGTGACAGTTGAAATGTCGTGTTCTAAAATTCCCAATCTTAAAAATTGATTTTTTTTTCTACAATCAAATCAACGAATAATTATTTTACTTGGTTCCGATTTATTCTTTCTTTATACAGTGTCAGAGCTTTGCATAATCATTGACAGTTCTGATCGATGTTCAAGTTAAAAAAAAAAACATTGACTTTGTCCGTGCATTTTAATTTCCACGGCATTAACCTCAGGCTCAACCTTTCCATATATTCAGATGTAAACAGTAATCTGTACTATACAATAGGATAGGTGACAGCTGTTGAGGTCCATTGTCGTGTATTCTTAGTTTACTTTATTGACAAGATTTATTGTCAGATACATCCATGAAACATGTTGCATTCATTATTCAGCGTGTAGATCATTTTCTCTGTTTGTCATTTGAATATCTGCCTTCTAAAGGGTGAGTACCTTTTTATAGTAGTTTATAACATTCCTTAAGGAGGCTGAGTGGACAAGATCCATCTGATTTGAAATGTAATGTATATATACATTTCTCTCCATTATATAAACATACAGAGAGAAAACATCATAATTTGTCAGAGGTACGTTATATTTAGTATAAAAAAACACGCATTCAAGTTATGACATTTAATAAAGTTTCCAGTAGGTTGAAATATTTTAAGAGTAATCATTGAGTTACAGCAAATTCAATACATTTCTTATGAAATTTGATTCCTTTAAAGGAAACATTTTAAACAAAATTCAGGGGATGCAAACGCTATCACCTTTTCAAACGAATCAAGCAGTAGTTTCCATTACTGAACAGCATTTATCCCCCTCTCATCGCTTGATCATAAATGATTTTAAATATTGTTTACTGTATGGCATTATACCACCGGTACTAGAACTATTTTAAAATAACTATAGATATGTGTATGACATTTAATAAAGTTTCCAGTAGGTTGAAATATTTTAAGAGTAATCATTGAGTTACAGCAAATTCAATACATTTCTTATGAAATTTGATTCCTTTAAAGGAAACATTTTAAACAAAATTCAGGGGATGCAAACGCTATCACCCAAACGAAAAGCAGTAGTTTCCAGAACAGCATTTATCCACCTCTCATCGCTTGATCATAAATGATTTTAAATATTGTTTACTGTATGGCATTATACCACCGGTACTAGAACTATTTTAAAATAACTATAGATATGTGTAAATTTACTTGAAAAAATGTAAACTTTAAAAATAGCACGCACCATCGACAGTTAATAGGACAGATATTCGAACACGCCTCACAGGAAATGAGGAAACTAATCAAACTTAATAAATTTCTTCTGGATTTAGTGGTAGAATTGACAACACAGGAGATTTAATATATTTAATTGTTAAATAAAGATGTTATTAATCTGTAAATGTATGTTAAGAAGAAACTTTATATTGTCTATCCATGTAGCTAATTTCGATAAAACTTTTCCCCAGATGAAGTCGTGTGTTATCGCCCTTCTTACCGTCCTGTGTCTGACGTCAGCGGTATGTGACGCCTCTTTCTGCGGTAACGGGTTAACTGCGTGTGGTCAAATGACCCGATTAAAACAGATTCTATGTGGAGGACTAACCGCTTGTGGAGGGGACCTAACTCGAGAAAAAAGGGAGGTGAGCTACCTTGTACGGTACTTGGTTACTAAAATTTATCTAAAAAACATGAAGTTGAAAGATAATATGCAAAACTCCTTTCACATTTTTTTTTTACAGTACTTTTGTTGCTCAGGGAAAAAAATTATACATGCGTTAATTTTTATTTGCGAGACTTTCAAATCACCAAAATCATTATTATATAGAAAATTGAGAGCAATGATTATATAAAAGTCATAAACGTGGAAATTTTTTGATCAGAGATTTGCAAAATTTATATCATGAAAGCACAACTTTCTCACGCTATCAACCTTGAAAAAAAGGTATTTAATTTTTTTCTATGAATGAAAATTTATCATTAATTTTAAATGTGTCTTTTCAGTTACAAATGTTGATTTAGAAAACCACATGTAAAGCCCTACAGTTAATAAAATCTAATTTTGCTTTCTTTTTTAATTTCAGAAATAAAACTTATGCTGAGGGAATAGTCTTGAACATAATATTGCATGTATAATTGTATACGTAATTCGTTTGAATTAAAGATAATGTTATTTCTACTGTAGTTTTCTTCTCCTTTTCAAGTTAAGTATTACCTGTATATATCCATTTACTTGACAGAATTATGTACAAAATGTCTCCTCAAACTCCTTTTTGCTCTGCTTTGCATAA